CTCAGGGGAAATTTGATTGGCTGAATCTATGGCAGCCATTTTGGATGGTACACACACACAGCTCTGCGTATTTCGAACATCGAATACATTGCTGTTAGCGCTCTAGTATTCTTATTATATCTCTATGCTAAACATTCACTTGGATTTAAACAGAGGGATGGAAATAACACACAACAATATGGGCCTACAATACCTTTCGGAAGCAGAAAAACAACGAAGTACCTAACAAATGTAATTTAAAAGCAGGAAATCTACCAAGCTCATTAGCCAAAAATACACAGGAGGTCGAGGTTGAGTTGAAATAATATATTCAGAAAATATATAGAGCAGCCGAGTCAAATATTTAAGGCCGGAAATGGCTTAGGCTCTAATCCATGTATTATAATATATTTTATTCTCGTTTCAACGCACATGTTATTCTGGACTATTATTCCAGTAGTTTTTTCAATTTAGGGGCGTTTAAAATTTTGTTGAATTGGATAAGAAGTTGAAACTACGTTTTTTTTTTTTGTTTTTTTGTTTTTTTGTTTTTTTTTATCGCAACGACTACTTAACCGAGTGAAAGGAGGCTATGTATATAGCCTTTTGCTTTTGCCTGTCTGTCTGTCTGTCTGTCTCTCTCTGTCTGTGTCTCTCTCTGTCTGTGTCTGTCTCTCTCTGTCTGTGTCTCTCTCTGTCTGTGCCTGTCTCTCTCTGTATAAAGTTCCAGTGAATAGTTCATTTATTTTAATATAAGGAAGAGTTCATTGCACGTTGGGGTGAAAATGTCAAAGGACAATGTCAATGTGGAGCAAAAAACTAAATAATGAAATCGCCCATAAACGCCCTGCATGTATCATATGGCATTAAGGCATAGTATGCAATCTATGGAGTAATTTCTGTAATGTCGTATATGTAAATATATTTATTATGTATCAGCGGTTAGTTGTTTAATAAAAAAAAAAGTTAAAAAAATAAAGATACGGCACATAAAAAGATGAGCAATTATTGATAATTTCCTTCTTTTTTAGAGCCTCCAAAAGTTCCGGGTGTAGAAGTTGATGAAAATTTGTACAAGCTGAAAATAAAATGGGAACATATTCTTCCCGAATGTAATGTAAAGTACCAAGTGACGTATGCATTAATAACAGAAAATCAACCTGAAAGTTACTCTACCACTCGGACTGTTGATACACCATCTTTACTCATAACCAATGTACTACCAAACAGACAGTATAATATAACTATAAGAGCAACCTCAAATGGAAAAACAGGCCCAGAAATATACACTACAGCTACAACAAGAAAGAAAAGTATGTAAAATAGTCGTAGTCATCGTCGTCGCACTAGTAGTAGTAGTAGTCATTCCTGATGATGACATAATTAATGTCGAAATATTGAATCCCAACACGATGGCGTATTTCAATACTAGTAGTAGTAGTAGTAGTAGTGGTGGTGGTAGTAGTAGTAGTAGTAGTAGTAGTAGTAGTAGTAGTAGTAGTAGTAGTAGTAGTAGTAGTAGTAGTAGTAGTAGTAGTAGTAGTAGTAGTAGTAGTAGTAGTAGTAGTAGTAGTAGTAGTAGTAGTAGTAGTAGTAGTAGTAGTAGTAACATATAAACAAAATGGTGGTAAAATAAAAGTCAAAAATATAAATATAATATTTGTATAAAATGTCATTTAAAAATACTCTAGTAGTAGTAGAAGTAGTAGTAGTAGTAGTAGTAGTAGTAGTAGTAGTAGTAGTAGTAGTAGTAGTAGTAGTAGTAGTAGTAGTAGTAGTAGTAGTAGCAGCAGTTGTAGTAGTAATAGCAGTAGTAGTATTAGTATTAGCAGATAAAAATTACATATTTTGATTCATTACTTTTATAGAGGAAGTGTCCGAAGTGGCAGTTGTGTATGTGATGTCACCTTTGTTCATCGTAGTAGCAGTTATGACTTTCTCCTACAAACGTGTATAGAACCAAGAGCAACAATAAACCAACAACCACTTCAATAATTGCATCATCGTGGCTTCATTATTAGAAGGAAAAAACTGTGCTTAATTGTTTTGTCAACTAATAGATACCAAAGTGCATCAAATCTTGAAGTCTTACGTTGCTAGTTTACTAATTGTGTCAAAAAAATTGGGTAAAACACACATAGTACAATTCTGAATATGTCAGTATGCTTTTTTATATCTTGTGTATTTAAGCCTGTGTCTGCTTTTGGTTTTACATTATTGCCATTAAAGAAAATAATTGCACGTAATTTGTATAATATGACTACTGATAAATGAATTAAACTGATTGGTCCAAAGTTCTGGATGAGAAACCAACAATGATCTGTATACTTTTGAGTTTTCAGAGGTTTTGACAAAGAAAATGTATATTTTTGAAAATGGTTTAGAAAATAAACAAATATGATAAACACAAACACAAATGCAATGCAAATAATACAGTACTTCCTGAATAATACTGAATACATTTTACTCGTCAGTATAGCTAAAGAAACAAACTTCTTCAATGCTGATGATATTGATGTTGATGTTCTTGTTAACAGTGATGACCTTGAGGGTGAGGATTATGAGGATTATGATGATGATGATGATAACAATGGTGATGATATTATGCTGCTGACTCTGATGATGACTGGTAATGCTGATGAGTTTTCAAAAGTTTTAACAAATAAATAAATATATAAATATATATATATATTAATGGTTTAGAAAATAAACTAATATAAAAAATACTATATTTAAAAACTGTGCCATAGTCTTTACAATACCGTAAATGCTCGAATAAGCGCCGCTCCCGAATATGCGCAGCTATAAAATAAGCGCCGTACGAAGCCTGATATTTTTTAGCTAAGCGCCACTCTCGAATAAGCGCCGCGGCGCTTAATTGAAAATTTATTTTACCGTGTGTGTAATGAAACACTTTGAGAAACAGGGTTTCGAATACAAGGCCAAAAAAAAAAATGTTCTGGTTCTGGTCAGACCAAAGTTACTGAATTGATGCGGCGATGCGGGTTTTTTTTTTCTATATATATATATATTTTTGTTTTTTGTTTTTTGAAAAGCATGGAAAGTACAGAAAATGTGTTTTTTAGTATCTTTTTTATGTTCTGCTAATGCATATACATTGTTGTCCTTCCACATTCCACATCCTCGATTTCGCTTCATTTGCCAAGGGGACCCCCGTCTTAATTCATCATCATTATCAGCATTAATGGGTACGCTTTGAAAAAAATCCGACGGGCGATGATCCCACCATAGCCGTGACTTTCTTCGATTCCGGGTGCAAATGTCGCTCACCACTGCTTGAGGAGGACGACGGACTTTCATCACATACTGTACACGCTCAGCAAACTCGCCGAGATACGTGTAGTACGCGTAGTAATTATGACACAGTTGAACCGCCATATCCCTTATATTACGGTGTATAAGCCGCACCTGTGTATAAGCCGCACCCCTAATTAGGACGCGAAATATCACGATTTTTTTTGTCACCTAGCTGTGTATAAGCCGCATTTATTTTTTAAGCCGTTCCCCTAATTTTAATTTTTAAATTATTTTGAAACACTGACATTATTTACAAATGTTACAAATTTCTTCTTTTTCTATTGAAAAAAATGACAAACAACTGGAAATGCGTGTAAACTTCAGGCTACCGCAATGAAACAACGTATTCTGCTCTGGGGGAATCCCCATTTCATGCTAGACGGTCGCACTACGTTAAAATTTCAACATCAGTTTTAATAAAATCAAAGAAAATAAAATACTTATTGAGTATATTTATCCTTTTAAAACAATCATTCTATTATTATGGTGACTAATAACAGTCGTATTAAGCCTGTTAAGCTTAATATATTGTTAATTCTAGGCCTAAGTCATGACTACTCACAGCCTATTGTGAGAAGCATGCACTCATCACGCACCACGTTTTATAAACAAAAACAGAAGTGGAGAGAAAATATCGTGCGATACAAAGTTTACGCATGCGCAGATGTATGGGGTGCCATACGCAGCAAAAGTCCATGTTAAAATCAAAATGTAATTGCAAAATTCATTGTCTAATTTATCAAAACGTAGGCGTAAATTTCTCAAAATGTAGATCTGGTTTCCCAAAATGAAGTTC